GTAGTTTTGATTTGCATTTCTCTGATAATTAGTGACATTGAGCATTTTGTTGAGAAAATAATTCATATACCATCCAATTTAGCCATTTAGGTGTACAATTTCAGTGGTTTTTGATATACTCAAGGAGTTAGCTGTTCAACCATCTCCATAATCAATTTTAGAACATTTTCCTCATCCTGAAAAGAAACCCTTTGTCCATTAGCAATTATTCCCTATTATCTTCCACCCCACCTTCCGCCCTAAGCAACCACTACTCTTCTTTGGGTCTCTAAAGATTTCCCTATTCTGGACATCTCATATAAATAGAATCATACGACATACAGTCAGTCCTTTGTGACTGGCTTCTGCCATGCAGCACAATGATTTTGAGGATAATCCATACTGTGGCAGGTATCAGGTGGAATAATATTCCATTGTATGGATACATCACATTTAACACATCTGTTTATCAGCTGACAGACATTTGGGTTGTTTCCACCTTTTGGGTGTAAGAAATAAACACTATTATGAACATTTTGTGGACAAGTGTTTGTGTGGCTATGTTTGCCTTCTCTGTCTCTTGTGTCTATGCCCGGGAGGGGAACTGCTAGGTTATGTCTAACACTCCGAGGAACTACCAGACTGGTTTCCAAAGCGGCTGCACCATTTTACATTCCCACCAGCAGTGCACAGTCATACCTCAGGTGAGTCCCTCCTGCCAGTCAAATAAGGCTCACTAAAGGGATCCCTCTCAGAGCTAGGAAAGCTCTACACAGACGATCAATTCCACATATGTTATCAAAGAAGGCAGTTTGACAAAGCTTGCTTTATCCTGTCTTCCAGGATCAAAGCTGCAGAAATGCAGAAATAAAATTACTTTTCTATCCAGTTTTTTTTAAGCTCTTAAAAATCACTAGACTAAGATTATTTTACTGCCTTATTGTATTTAAAAAATATATATCCTTTAATGAGGTAGGACACTAAGACAAAGAAAAGGAAGAGAGAGAAAGTGAACCACAGTCAGGTTCAATTCCGGACAGTGGTAGAGCGATACTTATAAATGTTGCATAATTTGTCAGAATCGAAAATAAAACCATAAGCCTCTGAGAGTTTCACTTTGTTTATAAAATGGGGGATTTGGTTAAGTGATCTCTAGGTTTCTTTTTCTCCCAAGCAATCCGCGTTCGACCCAGGATCAAAGTTCCCAGGAGATGTGATAAGACTCAGCATGGGAATGGACAAAGCAGTGGGGGCTGCCTTCGGGGTCTCCCCGCTGCCTGGCGGCAAGTTGGAGACGGGTCCCTGCACCTCCGAGACGGGCAAAGCTCCGTGTGCATCACATAGGCACTGGTCACACTGGTGGAGCCTGACCCCCCCTCTCCCTATGCTGGGGTTTCCAACAGCAGCTGACAGATGCTGGGAAGAGATGGCTTAAAAACCACTTCCTGTGACATCCGGCTGCAGGGGCAGAGCAGGGGCTGTCGGGGTCTGAGAGACTTTGGACCACACCTGGTTTACTCTCCAGACTCAACAGCGCAACTCTTTATTTTCAAGTTAGCATATACTCAGAGCACGTGAACTCACTTGACTGGCTGCCTAAGGAAGCATAAATCCATGCTAGAAATCATGTTTTCCACAAATAAAGAGCACGCTGCAACCACAGTTTTCTCCAGTACTCATAGAAAACTAGAACTGGCTAGACTGAAAACATGAAATATAATCAAGATACATTTGTTACACAAAGAGTTAAAAAAA